TATATATATATATATATATATATATATATATATATATATACGACCAATTCACCTTCGAAATAGATAATGTCACAACAACGGACAACAGGATACTGCTAGCCAAACTGTTGAAAGATCGATTTGCTGATATGTAATCACCAGAATGAACTATTCAGGGCTTTGATTGCTTTCCAAGTCCTGTGGAGCTGTTATGGTGTAGATGGATGCCCCCTATTGGACACAAAGTCCTTTAATCGCTTTGATCAGAAGTCTGAAGTCTGTTTAAGAAATAGATACTTTCCACCCCTCTATGCGCGGTGGCCGCTGTATGCTGTATGATTAACATCTAACAACTATAAAGGCAGATTTTATTTACCAATTATTATCCTCTGGCCAGCATATCCCCCCCCCTCCACACACACACACACCCAATTCGGAGTACCCAGGGAAAACATGACCAGGTTAATGCGAGCAATCGGAAATCGCGAAGAAAAATGTCAAAAATTTTCCGGTCACTTGGAACGTGCACATTGAATAGCAACAGAAAAATCAAGTATCCGTAGCTCACTCATTCATCACGCAGGTAATCAAGCACGAATCTGAATGTCCTCAAATGGGGTGACGGCTACCATCAGAGAGGTCAGAGTGAGCGAAATGCGGACAGCTAAACCAATTCCCTATATGGCATCATCATCAATCCGTAGAACCGGTCAGATGCTCACTGCGATGAAAGTCTGTTAGACCGCATTGAGGGGGGCGGGGCGGGGCGGGGCGGTGGTGAGAGAATTGCAACTATGGACTTACTTTTTTGATTAACTATGTGATCATTGATGGTGAGAAATCGAAAAACAATTGAATAATTGAGGATAAAAGCGATTTTTGAAATAACTATTTTTCTAGATTATTTCGGGCTTCTGCTAGAAGTGAAGGGGACAGATCTGCAGACAAACATGATGAGAAATAGAAAGTTGGGTGAATTCAGACGTTCAAAAGCAAGGCTGAGCCGCCCACGATGCTGCTGCTGCTGCTGCTGCTGCTGCTGCTGTACACAGCCGGTGTCCCTTTGAACCACTGAGCTCGTGTGCTTGACCTTTTCACTGGGCCGGGGAGTGTGGAGGTCGAATTTCAAGTAGGTCACATAGATAAGGGCAGAACTCCGGTACTCTAGCACATAACCCGAATCCCCAGTTGGATAACAGACGTTCTCTAACCCGAGCGAGAATAGCTCGTCTATCACCTATTCCAACAGATGTTTGTTTGTGCATTTGTCCATTCGCAGAGAATATCAGAACAAAGATCCTTCACATGCCCTTTAGACAACCAAAGAGGGACTGGCAACAATTGCTTGATGGACAAAACGCTATATCCAGTGCATTTCATCTGATAACCAGCGGCATAAATTCGCTTGAGTAGCTCAGTTTTAGCCTATTGTACTCAAACTCTCTCTACCCGTTCCGGTGCGTGCTATCACAAGCTTGTTAGTGAGTTATAATACGACTGAAACACTTGCGCAACGCCCCCAGGGGACTTTAGTGACAGCATACACATGGGCGTTGCTTGAGGAGCCATTTTTTGTCAGGACAAAACATTCTAATAATAAAATCCGTGGGGATTGAACCCAATCGAATACCAATGGAATAAAACGCCGTACTTTTCTAGGCCCATCCGTTTTCTCGGCCCTGATTGGTCCGTGCGTGCA